TTTACTTATTTCAATAGTTCCTCTAGTTTCTGAATAAGACACATTTGAATGTCAAAAATCTGCCCCTGTTTCCTCCGTTAACACTTGACCAGAACCAGCTTCACACGTTTGACTGTGGACTTTGTTTATCTTGGTGTTTCTTGGTGCTGTTCCTCCGTCTGCAGATCCTCAGACGAGACCAAAACACTGATGCAGATGAAGATGATCCTCAGACCTGCCGTGGTGCCTCTGAGCAGAGCACCTCACCTCCGAGTGTGACTCCAGATCAAACTCTGATCAAACTCTGATCAAACTCTGATCAAACTCTGATCAAAACTCTGATCAAAACCAGATGAACCAAAACCAAAACAATGAGCCGTGGAGCCGTGGAGCCGTGGAGCCGTGGAGCCGTGGAGCCGGTCTGACGGCCTCTGAGGTTCTTATCTCTCTGTGGTTTATGTAAGAACTGTGGGAACGTGTGACATTCTCACTCCAACAAGAACACGAGAACAGAAGAACAGAAGAACACGAGAACAGAAGAACACGAGAACAGAAGAACACGAGAACAGAAGAACACGAGAACAGAAGAACACGAGAACAGAAGAACAGAAGAACAGAAAGAAACAGAAGAACACGAGAACAGAAGACACAGAAGAACAGAGAACAGAAGAACACGAGAACAGAAGAAGAACACGAGAACAGAAGAACACAGAACAGAAGAACAAAAGAACAGAAGAACACGAGAACAGAAGAACACGAGAACAGAACAGAAGAACAGAAGAAGACGAGAACAGAAGAACACGAGAACAGAAGAACAGAAGAAGACGAGAACAAAAGAACAGAAGAACAGAAGAACACGAGAACAAAAGAACAGAAGAACACGAGAACAGAAGAACACGAGAACAGAAGAACAGAAGAAGACGAGAACAGAAGAACAGAAGAAGACGAGAACAAAAGAACAGAAGAACACGAGAACAGAAGAACGCGAGAACACAAGAACAGAAGAACACGAGAACAGAAGAACACGAGAACAGAAGAACACGAGAACAGAAGAACACGAGAACAGAAGAACAGAAGAACGAGAACAGAAGAACACGAGAACAGAAGAACAGAAGAACACGAGAACAGAAGAACACGAGAACAAAAGAACAGAAGAACACGAGAAGAACAGAAAGAACAAGAAGAACACGAGAACAGAAGAACACGAGAACAAAAGAACAGAAGAAGACGAGAACAGAAGAACACGAGAACAGAAGAACAGAAGAACACGAGAACAGAAGAACACGAGAACAAAAGAACAGAAGAACACGAGAACAGAAGAACACGAGAACAAAAGAACACGAGAACAAAAGAACACGAGAACAAAAGAACAGAAGAACGCGAGAACAGAAGAACAGAAGAACACGAGAACAGAAGAACACGAGAACAAAAGAACAGAAGAACACGAGAACAGAAGAACAGAAGAACACGAGAACACGAGAACAGAAGAACACGAGAACACGAGAACAGAAGAACAGAAGAACACGAGAACAAAAGAACAGAAGAAGACGAGAACAGAAGAACACGAGAACAAAAGAACAGAAGAACAGAAGAACACGAGAACAGAAGAACACGAGAACAGAAGAACAGAAGAACACGAGAACAGAAGAACAGAAGAAGACGAGAACAGAAGAACACGAGAACAAAAGAACAGAAGAACAGAAGAACACGAGAACAGAAGAACACGAGAACAGAAGAAGACGAGAACAGAAGAAGACAGAGAACAGAAGAACAGGAGCAGGTGCTGAGACTTTTTCACTCCTGTTTCACACTGTGCCTGTTTTTACCCTGTGGCCCTTTGAGACGAGTACTGACGAGTACTGACGAGTACTGACGAGTACTGACGAGTACAGACGAGTACAGACGAGTACTGACGAGTACAGACGAGTACAGACGAGTACTGACGAGTACAGACGAGTACAGACGAGTACTGACGAGTACAGACGAGTACAGACGAGTACTGACGAGTACAGACGAGTACTGAGAGACGAGTACTGACGAGTACAGACGAGTACAGACGAGTACTGACGAGTACAGACGAGTACTGACGAGTACAGACGAGTACTGAGGAGTACTGACGAGTACAGACGAGTACAGACGAGTACTGACGAGTACTGAGGAGTACTGACGAGTACTGACGAGTACAGACGAGTACAGACGAGTACAGACGAGTACTGACGAGTACAGACGAGTACAGACGAGTACTGACGAGTACAGACGAGTACAGACGAGTACAGACGAGTACTGACGAGTACAGACGAGTACAGACGAGTACTGACGAGTACAGACGAGTACTGACGAGTACAGACGAGTACAGACGAGTACTGACGAGTACTGAGGAGTACTGAGGAGTACTGACGAGTACAGACGAGTACAGACGAGTACTGACGAGTACAGACGAGTACAGACGAGTACTGACGAGTACAGACGAGTACAGACGAGTACTGACGAGTACAGACGAGTACTGACGAGTACAGACGAGTACAGACGAGTACAGACGAGTACAGACGAGTACAGACGAGTACGAGTAGACGAGTACAGACGAGTGACGAGTACAGACGAGTACAGACGAGTACTGACGAGTACAGACGAGTACAGACGAGTACTGACGAGTACAGACGAGTACAGACGAGTACTGACGAGTACTGACGAGTACTGACGAGTACAGACGAGTACTGACGAGTACAGACGAGTACAGACGAGTACTGACGAGTACTGACGAGTACTGACGAGTACTGACGAGTACAGACGAGTACAGACGAGTACAGACGAGTACAGACGAGTACAGACGAGTACTGACGAGTACAGACGAGTACAGACGAGTACTGACGAGTACTGAGGAGTACTGACGAGTACAGACGAGTACTGACGAGTACTGACGAGTACAGACGAGTACTGACGAGTACTGACGAGTACTGACGAGTACTGACAGGTACAGGCCTCTCCTGGTTCAGTTCCATCTTGTCTCAAATCACAAAGACACTGTTCCTCTGCTGCTTCACTGGAGGTTAGATGTTTCTGCTCAGGTGTTTCAGGTGTTTCAGATGTTGTAGATGTTTTGCGTCGGTGTTTAGATGTTTCTGCTCAGGTGTTTCAGGTGTTTCAGATGTTGTAGATGTTTTGCGTCGGTGTTTAGATGTTTCTGCTCAGGTGTTTCAGGTGTTTCAGATGTTGTAGATGTTTTGCGTCGGTGTTTAGATGTTTCTGCTCAGGTGTTTCAGGTGTTTCAGATGTTGTAGATGTTTTGCGTCGGTGTTTAGATGTTTCTGCTCAGGTGTTTCAGGTGTTTCAGATGTTGTAGATGTTTTGCGTCGGTGTTTTAGATGTTTCTGCTCAGGTGTTTCAGGTGTTTCAGATGTTGTAGATGTTTTGCGTCGGTGTTTAGATGTTTCTGCTCAGGTGTTTCAGGTGTTTCAGATGTTGTAGATGTTTTGCGTCGGTGTTTAGATGTTTCTGCTCAGGTGTTTCAGGTGTTTCAGATGTTGTAGATGTTTTGCGTCGCTGTTCACTGGAGCAGACACTTGTTTAAAATTCTCAGGTGTTTTTCTTCGTCCACTGGAGCAGAGACAGTTTACGTAACACGCCCTGACGAGCTCAATACTGCAGGTACTACAAATACTACGGGTACTACGGGTACTTCACACATACTGTACATACGTACTACAGCTACTACAGGTACACGCAGTACTACAGGTACACGCAGTACTACAGGTACACGCAGTACTACAGGTACATGCAGTACTATAGGTACACGCAGTACTACAGGTACACGCAGTACTACAGGTACACACAGTACTACAGGTACACGCAGTACTACAGATACACGCAGTACTACAGGTACACGCAGTACTACAGGTACATGCAGTACTATAGGTACACGCAGTACTATAGGTACACGCAGTACTACAGATACACGCAGTACTACAGGTACAACAGTACTACAGGTACAACAGTACTACAGGTACACACAGTACTGCAGTACTGCATCCTCACAGAGCAGTGTGTACTGTATCTGCAGTAACTTCACACAAACACTTCTGAGAACTGAACCAGAACTGAACCTGTTCTACAAGTCTAGACCGAGATAAAAGACTCAGAACCAGACCAGGACTAAACCAGGACTAAATCTGGTCCAGACCAGGTCTAAACCAGGACTAAATCTGGTCCAGACCAGGTCTAAACCAGGACTAAACCAGGACTAAATCTGGTCCAGACCAGGTCTAAACCAGGACTAAACCAGGAATAAACCAGGTCCAGACCAGAGACCAGGTCTAAACCAGGACTAAACCAGGAATAAACCAGGTCCAGACCAGGTCTAAACCAGGACTAAACCAGGAATAAACCAGGTCCAGACCAGAGACCAGGTCTAAACCAGGTCCTGTGGTTGTTGTAAACAGATGCGTTTGTCACAGAAACATTTTGTGTTTTGATGTAAAGAGCCCCCCCCAAAACACACACACACACACACACGCACACACACACACACACACACACACACACACACACACACACACACACACACACACACACACACACACACACACCCGCTCTCTTTCTGTGTCTCGACTGTTTTATGTTTTATGTTCTTCTTAAACACCTGATGCCCAAAGTGACCAAAGACTCGGCCCAGGTCTGGTCCTGGTCTGGTCCTGGTCTGGTCCTGGTCTGGTCCTGGTCTGGTCCTGGTCTGGTCCTGGTCCGGTCCTGGTCTGGTCCTGGTCCTGGTCTGGTCCTGGTCTGGTCCTGGTCTGGTCCTGGTCTGGTCCTGGTCTGGTCCTGGTCCGGGTCTGGCCCCTCCCCTCTGTGTTTACACTCTGTTTGTTTGTGATTGACACATGGATCGATGACATCATGAGCACAAGCCCCGCCTCCTCTGTTTGTGATTGACACATGCTGCTGTGATGTCACGGCCTAAGCCCCGCCCCCTGGCTCCTGTCTCTGCGTCTGAGACTCACCTGTCAGTCTCACCTGAGTCCACACGTCCACACGCTCCACGCACCCGGACCACAGCTGGACCAAACCCGGACCACAGCTGGACCAAAGCCGGACTAAAACAGGTCTAAACCAGGACTAAAACTGGACTAAAACAGGAATGAACAAGGACTAAAATGGGACTAAACCGGGGATCAAAGCTGGAAAAAAAGCTGGTCTAAACCAGAACTAAACTGGGACTAACCCAGGACTAACCCAGTACTAACCCAGGACTAACCCAGGACTAACCCAGGACTAAAGCGGGACTGAAGCTGGACTGAATCAGACCTGTTCCTGAGGAGATCCGGACTGAAGGAGCAGTGATGTTTGTGGATTGTAAAGCCTGAAGGACAGAATCATGATTTTGGAATAAACCGGACCAGAAGAACCAGACCAGATCCTGTGGACTGGACCGGGTCTGAACCAGGACCAGACCTGGGTCTGAAAAGGACAAAGTTTCAGTCTCTTGAAAAAAAGGAAATAAAATTTGACGTCTGGACTTCAGTTTCACTTTAAGACCTGAGCCCGGACCTGGACCGGACCAGGACCTGACCCGGTTTGACCAGGTTCTGTGAGGTCCTGAGGGTCTGGACCTGGACTAGACCTGGTCTTGGTCTGGTTCTGGATCATGTCTGTGGGGGAGGAAGAGGAGTGTGTGTGTTCAGTCGGGATGAAGCTGAGCTGGGACATCAACGACCCCAAACTACCACAGGTACTACAAATACTACAAATACTACTACTACAAATACTACAAGTACTACTACGACATCAACGACCCCAAACTACCACAGCTACTACAAGTACTACAAGTACTACAAATACTACTACTATAAATATCATTACTATATAACAGCAGAATAAAATCTGTGTGTGTGTGTGTGTGTGTGTGTGTGTGAGTGTGTGTGTGTGTGTGTGTGTGTGTGTGTGTGAGTGTGTGTGTGTGTGTGTGTGTGTGTGTGTGTGTGTGAGTGTGTGTGCGCACACACACTCACACACTCACACACTCACACAAATAAATATTTCCAATAAAAGTAAAAACTTGTTGTAATATTTTTACTTGAGTCAAAACCTGCGAGACACGAAGAAAAACTCTGAAGAATCATGTTTATCATTTTAAATATTTGTTTATAATTTTTAATATTTATGTTTATAATTTAAATGTTTTATGTTTATAATTTTAAAATAATTATGTTTAAAATTCTAAATAATCATGTTTATAATTCTAAAATATTTCAGTTTATAATTCTAAAATAATTGTGATATTTATGACTAAAACTAACGTTTTTCTGGTGGTAAATGTTCAGATTTACTCGCAGCGTCTCAGTTTTATTTGAACGAGACTAAAATGTTAAAATCTTGGTCCAGGTCAAATTCACAGCAAAAGGAAAAATTTAATTTGTAACTGGACAAAAGTTTTTGGTCGAATCCGTTTCTGAGAAACAGATTTGTCGGTTTTTAAAACTGTCACTGAAGGATTTTATAGTTTTACATTTTTAAATCATAACATCATCAAAACTTATTTATTTATTTAATATCTTTAAGTAAAGTTGTTGAAACGACATTTTACATTTTTAAACAACAACTAACATTTTTTAATTACAGCTCATTTTCTGAGAAACATTTGTGACAAAAAAATATAATTTCTGAAATCAGATTTTCCCACAATTTAAACTGAACCCAAACTCTGAACAAAAGAGAAAAAGATTTATTCATGAGAAAAGAACCGGACGAAACCAGGACTAAACCAGGACTGAACCTGGACTAAACCAGGACTAAACCAGGACTAAACCTGGACTAAACCTGGACTAGACCTGGACTAGACCTGGACTAGACCTGGACTAGACCTGGACTAGACCTGGACTAGACCTGGACTATCTGTTGGCTCTTGGTTCTTTTGTCGTGTTCTTCCTAAAGTCTGGTCTTTGCGTCTCTTTTGTTCTTTTCTCGTCTGAAGTTCAAATTGTGATTCTCTGGAGACAAACACTAAACTCTGAGCTCCGTCCAAACATTTCAATATTTTTATAAAAAGTTCCTCTGAATCTCAGAGTTCGAACTCAGAGTTTGTGACTTTCTGTTTGACTTTTGATGCAAACGTGATTTACAACGAATCTGATGTTTGGGAAAAGATCTGTACAAAAAAACAAAAAAAACAACAAACTCTAAAGGTTTTTCAGATGAGACTAAATCTGTGGGACTGAACCTCAGGGAAAACTGCCCGTGTTTGATGTTCTGCTTAGGGTTTTTACAAACTCCAGTCCTGGTCTGGTCCTGGTCTGGTTCTGGTCTTGGTTCTGGTCCTGGTTCTGGTCCTGGTTCTGGTCCTGGTCTGGTCCTGGTCCTGGTCTGGTCTCTGGTCTTAGTCCTGGTCTGGTCTCTGGTCTTAGTCTTGGTCTTGGTCCTGGTCTTAGTCCTGGTCTGGTCTCTGGTCTTGGTCTTGGTCTTAGTCTTAGTCTTAGTCTTAGTCTTGGTCTTGGCCCTGGTCTGGTCTCTGGTCTTAGTCTTGGTCTTGGTCCTGGTCTGGTCTCTGGTCTTGGTCTTGGTCTTAGTCTTAGTCTTGGTCTTGGTCCTGGTCTGGTCCTGGTCTGGTCCTGGTCTGGTCCTGGTCTGGTCCTGGTCCTGGTCTGTAGGTTCAGGGTTCGTCATGATCCCCAAAAGTCTTGGTGAAGGTGAATTTTTGTGACACTGAAACTTTTCTGTCCATAAAAACTCAAGTCGTTGTTTTCGGCTGCTTCAGGTCACAGTAAAACCCAAACCACTCAGATCCCCGACCGATCCAACACCGACCCCCCCCGACCGATCCAACACCGACCCCCCCGACCGATCCACACCGACCCCCCCCCGACCGATCCAACACCGATCCCCCCCGACCGATCCAACACCGACCCCCCCGACCGATCCAACACCGACCCCCCCCCGACCGATCCAACACCGACCCCCCCGACCGATCCAAACACCGACCCCCCCGACCGATCCAACACCGACCCCCCCCCCCCCCCCAGATGTTCTGCTGTGGACAGAACCTGAGACCTTCTGGACACGTTCACATCATCTCACACACGTCTGTAGATCTTCTGCTCAAACTTCTCACCTCCTCTAATGTCGCCCTCAGACTTCAACCTGGTTTAGTCCTGGTTTAGTCCTGGTTTAGACCTGGTTTAGTCCTGGTTCAGACCTGGTTTAGTCCTGGTTTAGTCCTGGTTTAGTCCTGGTTCAGACCTGGTTTAGTCCTGGTTTAGACCTGGTTTAGTCCTGGTTTAGTCCTGGTTTAGTCCTGGTTCAGACCTGGTTTAGTCCTGGTTTAGACCTGGTTTAGTCCTGGTTTAGTCCTGGTTTAGTCCTGGTTCAGACCTGGTTTAGTCCTGGTTCAGACCTGGTTTAGTCCTGGTTTAGTCCTGGTTTAGTCCTGGTTCAGACCTGGTTTAGTCCTGGTTTAGTCCTGGTTTAGTCCTGGTTCAGACCTGGTTTAGTCCTGGTTCAGACCTGGTTTAGTCCTGGTTCAGACCTGGTTTAGTCCTGGTTTAGTCCTGGTTTAGTCCTGGTTCAGACCTGGTTTAGTCCTGGTTTAGTCCTGGTTCAGACCTGGTTTAGTCCTGGTTTAGACCTGGTTTAGTCCTGGTTTAGTCCTGGTCCTGGTTTAGTCCTGGTTTAGTCCTGGTTTAGACCTGGTTTAGTCCTGGTTCAGACCTGGTTTAGTCCTGGTTTAGTCCTGGTTTAGACCTGGTTCCTGGTTTAGTCTGGTTTAGACCTGGTTTAGTCCTGGTTTAGTCCTGGTTTAGTCCTGGTTCAGACCTGGTTTAGTCCTGGTTTAGACCTGGGTTCCTGGTTTAGTCCTGGTTTAGTCCTGGTTTTAGTCCTGGTTAGTCCTGGTTTAGTCCTGGTTCAGACCTGGTTTAGTCCTGGTTTAGTCCTGGTTTAGTCCTGGTTCAGACCTGGTTTAGTCCTGGTTTAGTCCTGGTTCAGACCTGGTTTAGTCCTGGTTTAGTCCTGGTTTAGTCCTGGTTCAGACCTGGTTTAGTCCTGGTTTCAGACCTGGTTTAGTCCTGGTTTAGACCTGGTTTAGTCCTGGTTTAGTCCTGGTTTAGTCCTGGTTCAGACCTGGTTTAGTCCTGGTTTAGTCCTGGTTTAGTCCTGGTTTAGACCTGGTTTAGACCTGGTTTAGTCCTGGTTTAGTCCTGGTTTAGACCTGGTTTAGTCCTGGTTCAGACCTGGTTTAGTCCTGGTTCAGACCTGGTTTAGTCCTGGTTTTAGACCTGGTTTAGTCCTGGTTTAGTCCTGGTTTAGTCCTGGTTTCAGACCTGGTTTAGTCCTGGTTTCAGACCTGGTTTAGTCCTGGTTTAGTCCTGTTTAGTCCTGGTTTAGTCCTGGTTTAGACCTGGTTTAGTCCTGGTTTAGTCCTGGTTTAGTCCTGGTTCAGACCTGGTTTAGTCCTGGTTTAGACCTGGTTTAGTCCTGGTTTAGTCCTGGTTTAGTCCTGGTTTAGACCTGGTTTAGACCTGGTTTAGTCCTGGTTTAGACCTGGTTTAGTCCTGGTTTAGTCCTGGTTTAGTCCTGGTTCAGACCTGGTTTAGTCCTGGTTTAGACCTGGTTTAGTCCTGGTTTAGTCCTGGTTTAGTCCTGGTTCAGACCTGGTTTAGTCCTGGTTTAGTCCTGGTTTAGTCCTGGTTCAGACCTGGTTTAGTCCTGGTTTAGTCCTGGTTTAGTCCTGGTTCAGACCTGGTTTAGTCCTGGTTTAGTCCTGGTTTAGTCCTGGTTTAGTCCTGGTTCAGACCTGGTTTAGTCCTGGTTTAGTCCTGGTTTAGTCCTGGTTCAGACCTGGTTTAGTCCTGGTTTAGACCTGGTTTAGTCCTGGTTTAGTCCTGGTTTAGTCCTGGTTCAGACCTGGTTTAGTCCTGGTTCAGACCTGGTTTAGTCCTGGTTTAGTCCTGGTTTAGACCTGGTTTAGTCCTGGTTTAGACCTGGTTTAGTCCTGGTTTAGTCCTGGTTTAGACCTGGTTTAGTCCTGGTTTAGACC